TTTCTCCTGTTCTGCAGGTGGGGAATTAGGGGTAGGGGTGGTTTCTAGTTCTGCAGTCGCCATCTTAGGTCAATCTAATTGCACAAACAACTTTTTCTTTTTTTGAAGTTGTGCCATAGGGTGTTTATCCTTGCCAGGGAGAGTGAGGGAGACAGTGAGACGGAAAGGAAGAAGTAACTCCCCTGGGGCGGGGGGATGGACATGTCACAATCCTTTCTCCTCCATCCTCCTCCTGGGATTTTGGGCATGCACACACACGTGCTTGGTGTGATTTTTAAGCTGTCAGGTCCAGGACTCGAACTGCAGTCAACAATGTGAGTCCATTGATTACTTTTTTTTGGAGAGGTTTTTGCTATAGGGCGTGTGCACTCACCAGAAAGACAGAGAGATAGAAAGCGAGAAATCACCCCCCAGGGGGGATGGCCATGCTGCAATCCCTTCTCCTCCATTCTCCTCTCGGGATCTTGGGCACGCACGCACATGCACCTGGCGTGAGTTTAAGCCATCAGGTCTGGGACTCGAACCGCGGTCGACTACGTGGGAGTCCAGCGATATAGCCATTATGCTAACTGCTGGTCCCCCAAGATTACTTCTAATCTGGCCTCTCACCAGAACTGGCTACCTGAATGAACTCCTCTGTCTTGGCAAAAGAACCATGCTTAAGCAACATGTGTCTGGCAAACCCACTTTGACACCCTTCACCAAATTTAGCTGGACCCAGTTCCTACAAATTATCTTCCTCCAGTTTAGACAGAGGTCCTGAAGTCCTAGGCAGTTATTGGTTGGGGCTTGCAACAGGAAAGGCAGAGAAGTCCTGTGGGGCCAAATGTGGGGTTTGGAGACACCCTGGACATGGCTCCTTCCATAGGTTGGCTTGGATGTTGCTTGGCTCCCTAGCAAGAATAAGTACTCTGTGGTTCATGACTTCAAGCCCAGGATGCAGTCAGGGGAGAACTGCCCCTAGCCAGTACCTCAGCAGGCCTCTCATCCACTGTTGACCACAGGCCCGGGCACCAGGGATTACCAAATAATGTGCCCAGCTAGAAAAGCAAGATGACTCTATACTTATCAAGCCACATGAAGATGTCCAAAACCTGATGTTCTCCCCTAAACCTCTAATGGTGGATGATTAAGTGAGCTTGAGTGGTCCACCAAGTTAAAAACAAGGTGTTAAAAGGTGATAGTGAAATACAGCATCTATAGGGCAGTGGCTTTTTTATTTTTGGAGAGGCTTTCACTATAGGGTGCGTGCGCTTGCCAGACAGAGACAGACAGAAAGTGAGCAATCACCTCCCAGGGGGGATGGTCATGCTGTAATCCCTTCTCCATTTTCCTCTCGGGATCTTGGGCATGCATGCACATGCGCCTGGCATGAGTTTTCAGCCACCGGGTCCGGGGAGCGAACCGCGGTCGACTACGTGGGAGTCCAGCGACATAGCCATTACACTAACTGCTGGTTCCCAATAGTAGGGCAGTGGCTCTTAACGCAGGGTGATTTTGCTTTCCAGGGTGCATTCAGCTGTCTGGAGTTGCTTTTTCTTTTTGGGTTACAACTGGATTGGGATGAGTGGTTGCTATACCTAATGGGCAGAGGCCAGGAGCATCCTACCATGCAGTCCAGCCACCTACAACCAATTATTTGACACAAAACATCAATGGCTGTTTCTTTCTTCCCAGCTTAGGCCCAGCAGAATGGCTCCCACAAAGAACCATGGCGAGAAGGGTTGTTCTGCCATCAACGAAGTGGTGACCTGGGAATACACCAACATTCACAAGCGCATCCATGGTGTGGGCTTCAAGAAACGTACCCCTTGGGCACTCAAAGAAATCCAGAAATTTGCCATGAAAGAAATGAGGACTCCAGATGTGCACATTGATACCAGGCTCAACAAAGCTGTCTGGGCCAAAGGAATAAGGAACGTCCCATATCGAATCCGTGTGCGGTTGTCCAGAAAATGAAACGAAGATGAAGATTCACCCAACAAGCTCTACACTCTGGTGACCTATGTACCTGTTACTACTTTCAAAAATCTACAGTCAATGTGGATGAGAACTGCTTCATTTTCAAATAAAGTTATAAAACAAACAAACAAAAAACAAAAACAAAACATCAAAGGCTGTCAAGGATGAAAAGCCTGGCGCTAGCAGGTGGCATGATGGTTAAGGTGCTGGACTCTGTCTACCATATTTTGGATCGGGCAGCTTGAAACATGCTGGGTGTGTGTGCCTGTGTGCCCCAAATTTTGAAAATTGAGAAAATATTGTGGAATGCCATCCTTCCAAGGGGGTAATTTCTTGCTGTCTCTGGCAAGTAAGCGCACGGGCCCTAGAGCAAAGATCTTCCCCAGGAAAAAGCTGAAAAGCCCTGCTAGATGGGAGGCAAGGGTGGTTATTTGACAGAATTAAGAGAACTGGTTGAGAGTCACAAGTCAAGGCAACTAATACTCTTGAAGAACCTAGGGGGCTTGAACTGATGAATAGGTGTTAATAGTCCTGAGAGTTAGGATCTCCTCTTGCAGGGACTTGGCAGGTGAGTCTGTATCTAGGGAAGCAGGAATAAGATGATCTTCTACAAAATAGCTTTCCAGTCTTGAGAAACAGGCACAGCAGAGCGGTAGTCAAGTGCAGTGCTTTGCAACATCAAATTAACCTATCAGGCTGGCCCTGTGACCTAGTGGTTAAGGAAGCCAGAGCCTCCACAGGTAGCTTGAAAACCACACCCCTTACCTGTTCCTACATGCCCAAAATTGCCAGGATGGAGAAATGAAGAAAGGGTTAGTGTGGCTGCGTGCCACTGAGGGGTGCTGTTCCCTCTCCTGGGAGAGGACAATGACCTTGCACTTGGCAAGTTCGGCATACAAGTGGGAAGAGAGGAGCCAGACAGACTATCAAGACAGAGTACTTAACAGGGCAGAGGAGCTCCAATGTGTAGATGAGTTCTTGGTGTTCTTCACTCCTTGGTTGCTGTTCCTTTTCCAAGTCTGGCATTTACCTCCTACTCCCACCCCAAGCCCAGCCTATAAAAGAACAGATCCAGATCACAGCTTACCTAAACCTGCCTGAACATCAAATCATTTTTCATGTCCTAAAAGTAGAAAAGCAGGGACAGCTCTGTAGCCTAGCAATTAAGGGAGCCAGATTCCATAGAGCCGACTTGAAAACAAACACTAGGGGGGGCCCAGTAGGTGGCATGGTGGTTGAGGCACTAGACTTCCCCTATGACTGACGTTCGACTCTGGGACCTGGTGGCTCGTATTCCTCCATCTCTCTGGCAAACTCATGTGACAAGCTTCAAGAAACGTGCCCCTCGGGCACTCAAAGAAATCCGGAAATTTGCCATGAAAGAGATGGGGACTCCAGATGTGCGCATTGATACCAGGCTCAACAAAGCTGTCTGGGCCAAAGGAATAAGGAACGTCCCATATCGAATCCGTGTGCGGTTGTCCAGAAAATGAAACGAAGATGAAGATTCACCCAACAAGCTCTACACTCTGGTGACCTATGTACCTGTTACTACTTTCAAAAATCTACAGTCAATGTGGATGAGAACTGCTTCATTTTCAAATAAAGTTATAAAACAAACAAACAAAAAACAAAAACAAAACATCAAAGGCTGTCAAGGATGAAAAGCCTGGCGCTAGCAGGTGGCATGATGGTTAAGGTGCTGGACTCTGTCTACCATATTTTGGATCGGGCAGCTTGAAACATGCTGGGTGTGTGTGCCTGTGTGCCCCAAATTTTGAAAATTGAGAAAATATTGTGGAATGCCATCCTTCCAAGGGGGTAATTTCTTGCTGTCTCTGGCAAGTAAGCGCACGGGCCCTAGAGCAAAGATCTTCCCCAGGAAAAAGCTGAAAAGCCCTGCTAGATGGGAGGCAAGGGTGGTTATTTGACAGAATTAAGAGAACTGGTTGAGAGTCACAAGTCAAGGCAACTAATACTCTTGAAGAACCTAGGGGGCTTGAACTGATGAATAGGTGTTAATAGTCCTGAGAGTTAGGATCTCCTCTTGCAGGGACTTGGCAGGTGAGTCTGTATCTAGGGAAGCAGGAATAAGATGATTTTCTACAAAATAGCTTTCCAGTCTTGAGAAACAGGCACAGCAGAGCGGTAGTCAAGTGCAGTGCTTTGCAACATCAAATTAACCTATCAGGCTGGCCCTGTGACCTAGTGGTTAAGGAAGCCAGAGCCTCCACAGGTAGCTTGAAAACCACACCCCTTACCTGTTCCTACATGCCCAAAATTGCCAGGATGGAGAAATGAAGAAAGGGTTAGTGTGGCTGCGTGCCACTGAGGGGTGCTGTTCCCTCTCCTGGGAGAGGACAATGACCTTGCACTTGGCAAGTTCGGCATACAAGTGGGAAGAGAGGAGCCAGACAGACTATCAAGACAGAGTACTTAACAGGGCAGAGGAGCTCCAATGTGTAGATGAGTTCTTGGTGTTCTTCACTCCTTGGTTGCTGTTCCTTTTCCAAGTCTGGCATTTACCTCCTACTCCCACCCCAAGCCCAGCCTATAAAAGAACAGATCCAGATCACAGCTTACCTAAACCTGCCTGAACATCAAATCATTTTTCATGTCCTAAAAGTAGAAAAGCAGGGACAGCTCTGTAGCCTAGCAATTAAGGGAGCCAGATTCCATAGAGCCGACTTGAAAACAAACACTAGGGTGGG